AATCCATCACATAAATAAAACAAAAGACAAGAGCCACATGATCTTATCAATTGATGCAGAAAAGGCATTTGACAAAGTCCAACACCCATTCGTGATAAAAACTCTCAGCAAAATAAGAGTAGAAGGGAAATTCCTCAACATAATTAAGGGCATTTGTACAAAGCCAACAGCCAACATCATCCTGAAGGGAGAGAGTCTGAAAGCATTCCCCTTGAGAACGGAAACCAGACAAGTATGCCCTTTATCACCACTCTTATTCAACACTGTGCTGGAGGTCCTAGCCATAGCAATTAGGCTAGAAAAAGAAATAAAGGACATCCACATTGGTAAGGAAGAAGTAAAAGTATCTCTACTTGCAGATAGTATGATCTTATAAACAGAAAACCCTAAAGAATCCACAAGAAAACTACTGGAACTAACAGAAGATTTCAGCAAAGCATCAGGATACAAGATAAACATACAAAAATCAGTTGGATTCCTCTACACCAATGAAGGGAACTTCAAAGAGGAAATCACCAAATCAATACCATTTACAATAGCCCCCAAGAAGATAAAATACTTAAGAATAAATCTAACGGGAGACGTAAAAGACCTATAAAAAGAAAACTACAAGACACTACTGCAAGAAACCAAGAGACCCGCATAAGTGGAAAAACATACCTTGCTCATGGATAGGAAGACTCAACATTGTGAAAATGTCAATTCTACCCAAACCGATCTACAGATACAATGTAATCCCAATCCAAATTCCAACGGCATTTTTTAAGAGATGGAGAAAAAAATCACCAACTTCATATGCAAAGGGAAGAGGCCCCAGATAAGTAAAGCATTACTAAAGAACACAGTGGGAGGCCTCACACTACCTGATTTTAGAACCTATTATACTGCCACAGTAGTCAAAACAGGCTGGAACTGGTACAACAACAGACACATAGACCAATGGAACAGAATTGAGAATCCAGACAAATTCATCCACCTATGTATGAGCAGCTGATATTTGATAAAGGCTCAAAGTCCATTAACTGGGGAAAAGACAGTCTCTTTAACAAATGGTGCTGGCATAACTGGATATCCATCTGCAAAAAAATGAAACAAGACCCATACCTCACACCAT